CACAGGCCTAAAGACACTGCACACGATAGACCCATGAAGGCGGAACTTGCTCAAATAAAACAACTGGAAGCTGCGAGAATACTCTGCCTTGCAGCGAGACTAACAAATTGTAACCATCCCTAAAACCCTAAACCCCCAAACCTTAAAGCCCCCTAAACCCTAAAGCCCCATAAACCCCCAAACCCTAAAGCCCCCTAAACCCTAAAGCCCCCTAAACCCTAAACCCCCAAACCCTAAAGCCCCCTAAACCCCCAAACCCCTAAACCCCTAACAGATGACCGCAGGTCCAGGTCTCAGTCTTCAGCGACCTCGCCTGACCTTGGTGCTACGTAGGCAGCAAGACGCACGTCTAGGTATCGGTTTCTGTTACTTACCGGTTTCATACAAAGCCTCAATTATAATTGATTTTGGGACTGTTCACTGAAATCGACACCTAGTCTAGGGTCTAGGAACTTGTTGTGAGCAGCACGGCAAGAGAAAGCGGGAATGAAAAGCCTGGATGATGCCGTGCAGAAGTTTGGAGCTGATCGTGTGGAGGCCTGCAAGATGCTTTGGCTGATGCCCTACTTAATCTAATCTATAATCGAATTGTATTTAATCTGATAGCGCATAAGTATAGTTATAGCTCACCATGGCAGGTGTCGTGGCTTCCCTATATCATTGACCCCGGCACAGCTGCAGGAGGAGCTTCACACAGCCTGCGCCCACGTAGCCGACACGAATCCCGGGGCAGCTCAGGAGAGGATTATTTAGCTTACAACAAGCGGCGCTGGGGAAGCGATGCTTGGACCCGGTCCTTGCGCCAGCAGGGCCAGAAGGCAGGGCCGCAACGGAGGGCACTACTTACCTTAGACATGCAGTGTTCTGCAGGTCGGTGCGCCGTTTCGGGAATGGAAATGGTGGCCCAACACCTTGAAGGCGTTGTCTTGCTGAGACTGAGAACATCGCGCATGTAATGCCTGAGCATGTTGGAGGCGCATTGCCTGGTCCTCTTTGCAGAGGAAAGAGGCAGAAGTCCTAGCCGGGTTGGCCTTTCCCCATTCCATTCCCTGACGGTTGCAGGAATTAGCTCCTCTGCCGCAAAGGCGGCTTTGTTTCAAGCCCTCTACGAGGAGGGATCCGACCTCAGACAACTTGAGATCAGCCAGATCTATCTATCTACCTACCTATCTATGTGCATTGGTATGATTCAATGATATACACATACATACATACATACATACATACATACATACATACATATATATATATATGATTATATATGAAATATTTTACATATATGTCTCTCTCTCTCTCTATATATATATATCTATCTATCTATCTATCTATATCTATATATACACACCTCTTGGTGAATTTCCTAACAGCCCGCGGAAGATGCCCAGGAGCCAACATCTCCAGTGACAAAGTCTTGGCTGAGCTGGCTGAGAGCAAGCTCGGCGAGGCCCTCAGGACTCGCCAGGGCAGAATCCCACCGGAGTAGAGCTTCTATATGGCTAGTTCTCCAAATTAGGGTCCCTTTTTAAAGTTTAGGGTCCCAATTTAAGTACGGCACCCTCATAAAAGGAACCCTAGAAGGGACCCTCATTTAGAGAACTACCTATACGCTTCTATCTACACCTTTTTTGAGCCTCAAACCCCTGAACCCTGGACCTCGTAAGGTCTGCCGTACGACGAGGCCTGCCAGCCTGGTGAGCTGTTGGATGGAGAGTGACGTCTGCAGTTTCCACAGGAACATGTGGAAACAAGCGAGCCCTTGTATTTTTTTGTTGGAACCCTAAGTATTCGGGTCCTCAGTGTAAGGACACCTAAGTACATAAGGTACCCCTAGTCTGCTTAAGCTCCCACATGAAGATATCCAGGTACTCCAATACCTGAAGGCTGGAACTGGCGAAGCAGAAGTCTTACAACTTGTCTGGCCCCCCAGCCGCGGCATCTTGCTTCCGGTTTTGCGGTTTGGAAAAGCTCGCAACTCTGTGCAAGGTTCGCACAGGCCCGGGCCCCCAGGACCAGGCAGCAGGATCCTTTGATCGAGCCCTGGCAGTTACTGCAAGGGCTCTATGAGTCTAAATAAATATGTGTAATACCTATATGTGTATATATATACACATACATACATACATACATACATACATACATATATATATATTAGAGTACAATATCATATAATATAATGCAATATAACAAATTATGTTGTGTGTATATATATATGTATATATATTGATATTGTTGGGACCTTGATTCAATCAGCAGTTGGAAGTTGCAAGACTGGCTCCCAGCCCCGAGGTCAGCAGACAGTGCAGGGGGGTGTGCCTTTCTTCATCGTCGGAGCAGGTGACCTTTTTTGAAACACGGCTTTTGAAGCCACCCTGGTGGTTTTCAGCATCTTTGCTTGAGAGTATCGCGGTTGTCTGATGCGGCAGGAGTGTACCTGATCTGTTCTCATCTTCGCCTATCATACATCATAGGATGCTACATCATACTATTTCAGATGTACAAAGTCATTATGTATACTGCACTGTACCATACCATACCACACCATACTATACCATACTGTGCTATCCCATCTTATCCTTGGCCAGCCTAGGCTATCCTTTTTTTGGCACCATGCTGACTCTACTGTATCGCTTATGCATATCCCTAACCTCCCAGGTACCTACTATATAGGGTACTAGAGCCCCTAGGGCCTATATAGTAGGTACCTGGGCGGTTAGGGTTTTATCCATTGCCAGGGAAGCAGCCGATCGGCTTCTCGGGTGCACAGCCGCAGCAGCCCCATCTTGAGAGCGCTTCAAGGATTTAGGGATGTTTTGGGGGGTTTAGGGCTCTAGGGTTTCAGGATTTAGGGTTTGGTTTCAGGATTTAGGGTTTGGTTTTAGGATTTGGTTTGGTTTTAGGATTTAGGGTTTGGGTATTAGGTTTTGGATTTAGGGCTTTTAGGGGGTTTGGGTTTAGCGTTTAGGGCTGCGTGCTGGATCTTGAGGCTCATAGAGCATTTGGTGGATGGATCACCCGACGGTTCACAAGCAAACACCTTCTGGTGCATTTAATCCACGTGGGTAGATGCCTTTGGAAGATATTGGAAGAGGGCTGGACCTGCCAGCTAGTCAATTGCGTGAAACATGGCAGAAGCAAATCGATGCTGCAACAAGGTCGGAGCAGTTCGTTCGGATTTTCCAGAGGGTTTGTGAAGAAGACGGTGGCCAGGACTTGCAGTTGCACTGTCTCCCCATCCCACACCGAATGCGTAGACACGCGTAGCCCTCCTGGCTTCCTGGTGAGGACTAGCGTCGCATGATGCCTGAAGCCTGAAGCGATCGTCTGCCCTTTGTTGACACATAAGCAGAGCAGAATTGGATGCATTCAAACCTATTCCGCGCATGGACGGATAATCAAAATCAGAGTGTGATTCGTTCAAATCGCTGAAAGACTTCTCGGCAGCCTGGCCGAATCTTACATCACACTCGCGTCCAGTCGGAGGGTGTCGCGAAGAGCAAAGTCTCAGAACATGCTGATGGCAAATTCATTTAATGCACCCTAGGGCTCCTGGTACCCAAAAATGGGCTACTGGGTTGTATATCATATGGTTAGTAACCTACTATTTAAGATTGTTTTAGTAGCTGGAGCCCTAGGGACAGTCAGTCACAAAAGCTTCTGCCATCTTTGGTGGCGGCAGCAGCCAGAGCCCATGCAGAGGCGGGGCTTTCCCGATTGAAGCGAGAGAGAGAGAGAGAGAGAGAGAGAGAGAGACATGACATTGAAGCGGGGTTTTCACATAGCAGTATAGTAGTATAGTAGTATAGTAGGTCCTGCTAGCACATCTTGGTCTGAAGGTCTTGCGCACATGAATGATCGGGAGTCGAATTACTTCGAGCCTCTTGCTCAGACCTTGTTTTGTTCACTCCCCTGGATGGCCGGAGCTGCAACGTGAACACTCAGGCAACATACGCCCTGGGACAAGTGTGCAGTCGCCTCGGGTGGTACATGGGCGGTCTGCAGTATAGGATACAGACTTGCTGGTATTCCGGTAATGCCATGGCGCACTGCGGCATGCAAGGCGCCGGACTCGGCGAAACCCTCTGAGCAAGGTGCCACACAGGCAGCGTGCAATGTGCAATCGCTTCGCTTTCTTGTCTCGTGAGCCGTGACTCGGGGAGCATCATAAACAGCTTGTGGACTTCTGCCACCCGCCTCCGGGGGTGTGTTGGTGCGCAGACAGGTGGTGTTGACAGATGCTTTTGACTTGGCTCCAAGCTTGGCTCCAAAGCATATGGGGAGAAGTGGTGCGAGCTCATCCATGCGACACATACAATGAAGAACACCTCCGGCCACAACTATTGCAAGCAGCTGCGGGTTGTAAATAATGAATGGGAGCATCGCAAATGACAGATACTGAGCCAACCTGGACAAAACGGGACAAGCCAAGAGTCACAGCATCGTCATGGCAATGGCAGGCGTACATGAGGCCATGCGTTTCTCGAAGTTCTGAGCAGGGGCTGAATGACGTTGCTGTGAGGATTTGGCAGAGCTCATCAGGGAATTCGGCCTGCCTGATCGGCTCCTCCGTACCTTTCAGGAGAAGGCACCGGGTCTTCTGCGCTGTGCTCCTGTCAACCAATCGGCCTTCAAGGCTGTCACATCCATCAACGCCGTCATAAAGACCTTCGAGGACGATGAGCAGCAGCGAGCTTGGCAGGGTGTTTTCCGCAGGGGACGCTCCGTTGACTTTTTTGCGAAGTGTCAGGTTTGCGGACTTCATTCTGCAGCAGGAGGTCCTGGGTTCGAAGTCTCTGCGTCTGCGCCTGGCATTGAAGATGGCGCGGGCCTGTAAAACTGCAAAATTAACGGAAGCATCAGAATCAGGTCTTGCGCCGGAGAGGGTTCGGGCTGCCTGCAGGTGTATATGGAGGCGGTGCAGCGCGCCCGAAGCAGGGGCCAGGTACCCCGGCGTCCTTACTGCTCTCGCAGAGTTTCTCCCGCTTCGCCAAAGCTTGCAGGTGCCACGAATGTCTTCGTCTCCTGTTTCATCCTCGGCGCCCAGCCCACCTGCAACTGACAACGAAGAGGCACCGGAAGAGTCGCCGACAGAGGACCAGCTTTGTCGTTATGAGCGAAAAGTTGTATGTTTCTCTGCATTTGCAATTTTGCGGCTGAGTGCAACATGTAGCCGAGGACGAGGACGAAGACGAGGACACGGGTCCCTCATTGGTCACAGTGCGTTGGATGGCTTCACTTCTGTCAGCAGGCTTCTCCTCCGCCCCCTCCACCCCCGCCGCCAGCGGCCGAGAGACTTGAGTTATGCTTCCCGCCCCTCTCCGCCGCAAATCGATTTTCATGTCAGGCCTCCCGACGCATCAGGCCATAGCATCGACGGGACGGTTGTTCTTATCCTGACTCTGGCCAGCTACACTATCTGCCCCGCTTGCATACTGGCAGGTCCCGCATGGCGTCCCTGATTTCTAGCGCCAGCCTAAGTAATTAAGGCTGGCTGAGCAATGCATGTCCGTTTCACTGAAACTGCACGACTTGAAGGACGCGACAGCAAGGTCAGCCGCACAAACCACATTTGACACTGGAGAGCGGGTCGTCTGATAGTGAAAGTACACATAGTATGTGTCGCTGACAGACAAGGTGTGCTGACCTCTCAGAAGCTTCTGAATCCATGGTTGCATCCTCTCGCGGCTCCAACAAACACATGTGAAGACTTCTTGGTGTCCTGCCCCCCTTTGCAACGGCCTGTCACGGCTGTGACGCCCACTCAACCGACTGCGCAGGAAAGACGCATCACCCAAGGCAATATGAAGCCTTTGCCAAGCTCCCCAGCAAGCACCGCATGTACCGGTATGTCCACATTAACCATGCGACGATGAGTCAGCAACGTGCTGATGCTCCGCTCCCATCCAACAGGTGGAGGCCAGGGGTCTGTTATCATATTGCAATGATAGCCAGCCGCACTGCGATGAGACGATGCCAGCGGTTGCTTGCACGTAATCTAGCCGCCAGGGTGAGGACTTCTATTGCCGAATCCTACGATGCAGCTTCCGCAGCATTGGCCTTGCAGAAGTTCCGTGGCATCTTTTGCCATACTTGGGGCAGTCGGAGACTGGAGGTCAGGCTCCCTGCATGATGGGCGCGCCAGGAGCCCTGTGCTCCGCAACAGTCAAGTCTGGAGGCCATTTTGCAGGTCGTTCTGCAGCTCAGCTCAGGCCATCGTAGATGGAGGCATCCGGGCATGGGGTGCTGCCCTCAAACTTGTGGAATCTGGATGAACGTAAACATGTGTTTGCTTTGAGGGGATGAGTTTAGAGTAAGGTTCACAGGCCGGCACAAGTGCAGACGCCGTTCTCCCAGACCATGCCATCTGCAGCCAGTCACAGGGAAGCAGCCGACACGTTGTATTGAACAAGGCTCGGCAGAATGTGGAGTTGCTTTCCAGCCGGTTCTCCAATCTATTTTCCCAGCTGGCCAGAGAGGAGGCTCTGCTTCTTCCATTGCCACAACAGTCTCAGGATTTTGCCCGTCATCATTAGGTGACAGTTCACCGGGTTTTCCAGGCATTGCTCCTCATCGCTGTTCAATCCCACATTAGCTGGCAAAGGATTTGTCAGCGTACACTGGATGTGTCTGAAGTCATCGTGCATGCAGGGTTGAGCAGTGTTGCGCAGCCGTTGCGGGGGCATAGCCCCTCATGTCATGTGCCAGTGCAAAATGCTTTCTTATGCTTTCAGGGTTAGTCAGCCGTCCAACGGACACCGGAGGGCAAAAGGTCTGTCAGTCATTACTATCTCCCACTTGCACAATCAACTCCTCATCGACCCGTCGCGCCGAAACCCCTAAGTATGTAGGACCTTTAGGGTCTACTTGAGCCAACTACCTCCCATGCCCACCTGTTTTATTTACTTTATCTGTTTTCTGCTGTTCATTTTTGGTTTATTCATTGTGGGCCCAATATCATAATCGTGATAATGCTTCAGGCCCGCAGTGTTATGGTGCCTGGGTTTGATTTTGCCATCTTGCTTAGTCTAGTGCACCGCATTACGTTTTCTTTGGTGTCGTCTGCAAGGCTGCATTGAAAGCTGCGCAATCGAACAACGAGAGCTTGGAGCAGCAGCTCCAGGCGGGGTATTCCAGGTTCCAGGGTTGGGGCGCCGAGGGTGTGTTTGAGCATGATGACGAAAATAACAGTCATGAGTCATGACAATCATAGTAGCAAAGATATTGCAACAAAATTATTACAAGAAATATAAGAGGCCTTAACAATTGTTACAATAGTTGTAAGAGGCCTTGACAAGTGGAATACTGCCCCGCAGAGAAGCTTTGAGCAGGACTTTCGCCGCCAGGATCCTCGGGGAAAGCGACCCGTATGGCAACAAGGGTTTAGGCTTTAGGGTGCTCATGATGAGAATGATAGGAATAGTCTCAAGGGTAGATATTGACCCGGATTGCAACTAGGGTTTAGTAAAAAGGGAGCTCATGATGAGAATGATAGGTTTAGTTGAAAGAGTAGATGTTGATTGTTGTCGCCATTGTTGACGTGATTGCTGCTTGCATCGCCATGGCCCTTACCACTGCCTGTGATCTTGCTCTTGCTTGCGACATTTTGCATCTACTGCGGCAGCTACAAGAATTTTGTTACTCGCTGCCGACAGCTGCCTGGTTCTAAGTAAGCCCATAATCGCCCATAGTAGCCCATAGTAGCCCATAATGGCCCACAATAGCCCATAGTGGCCCATAATAGCACATAAAGCCCATAATGGCCCTTAATAGCCCATAATAGCCCATAATTGCCCATAATAGCCCATAGTAGCCCATAATGGCCCCTAATCTTGTGGTTCGCAAAGATCCGAGGCTCAGCCAGGCCGGGAGCTACTTCGACGGAGAGGCGACGCCGCCGGGGAAGCGGGAAATTGCGAGCCGTTTGCTCGGAGTTGCTAAAGTGAGGAGCACGGTTGATGATATAAATCCTGCACTAAACATAATAAGGAATATACCATAATTCCCATAGTTTAGGTAGGGTCTATAAGGTCATGCAGGATTTATATCATCAACAGTAGGAATCAACATGCTTGAAGAACTGTGGGGGTCGGTAGAAGCGAAATCAACCGCTAAAGCTTTGGCTCAAAGCCTCAAGGTCCCTATGTTGCAAGGGAGCGCCGGCCTCGCCCAGCAAAGCTGCGGAAGGTAGCATGGTCCTGACAGCGACGGGGACAAAAGCCATCTTCGGAAGGGGCGGCAGACCTGGGTGGAAATGAAGGCATGAAGACAGCCGGGAAAGAGGAGGTTTCGAAATGCACCTAGGAAAGTAGAGAGGAGATCAAGGAAAGGGTTTTCTTTGGGCATGAAGGAGAAGGTCAAAGTCTTTATGTCCTCCTTCGTGGGGATGCCTCTTCCTTGCCCATGGGCAATCACACAAGAGGGTATAAAGCAGGAGGCGAACAAGAGGGTTTCAAAGGATGCACACGGAAGTATCAAGGAGGAGGTTGGCAGCTCTCGTGGAAGACTGCCTGCAAAATTAAAGGTATTAGATCAAGCATGAGTTGAAGCAGGAGGACAAGCACGTGGAAAGCCGGGTGGCTGGTGTGAATACGAGTTAGTGGATGTAGAGAAGCAGTTGCTCGGAACACGCTGAGCCCGGGCGAGCCAAGAGGCGTCGCATCCACCGGAAGAGTCCCATCCGTGATTTCCAGAGAGGGTCGAGAAGTGCCTCGCATATTGAGGAGACCCTGCTTTCTGGCCCAGCCGGTTCTTGGGTCAACTTAAAGAGCAGTTCCGTGATTTGCGGCGACTTCTACAAGAGCAGCTCGGCTGAAAAGCAGCAGCCCTGCAGCTGAGAGGACCATCTGGGGCCTTGGATGCAAAGCTGCGGCCAGGTCGCGAGGATCTGTGTGGCAGCTCCAGCGCAGGAATTCCCTCGAAGGGGTTCCTTTTAAGGGTACTACAGGAATCCTTTTTAAGGGTACGACAGGATTCCTTAAAGACGGTCCCGCTAGAAGGTCATATAGGGCTCCTCTTGAAAGAGTCATGCCGAAGCCAACACAAGCGAGGTCGCCGGCTCGTGGCTCCGGGACAAACGTTTCCAAGATGGACCCCTCTACCAAGAAAGTGGTTTGGGGTTTAGGGTTTATAGGGTTTAGGGATGATGGTGGGGGCTTTCAAGATTTAGGGCCGCGGCAAAGGGAATCAAGTACAGTAGAGCCGCAGGCCTGGCGTGCCGCGTCTCGGGACCCAGCAGGAATATGAGTGGAGAAAAACGTGGTTAATGTGCAGGTTTGGAGGTGCCAGCACTGGGAAGAAGGAAGATGAGCATGTGGCCTTGGATGCATAGTTGTCGTGACTGCTGCTTGTATTGCTGCGATCGGCAACGAACGAGCCAACTGCAACGCTTTTCATCCAGCTTGATGTGCTGGTCTGCTTCGGGGAGGTGTAGCGACCACCAACCAAGACTCCAAAAGGAGAGGTATCATGAACGGACGAGGTTCGACAGAACAAACCCAAACCAAACCCTAAGCCCAACGACCGAGCTGCGAGAGTCCAACTGCTACTAGGCCCCGGGTCATGGCCTGGCATACAATATAATGCAATCTAATATAATATAACAGAGTATAACATTATGTAACATAATAATATAAGATAGTATGATATAATAGAATATAGCATATATTATATCATCTTATATTATATTATGATATAATATAATTATAGTATAATTAATTTATAATTCCTTGGCATTGAGATCGCCCCGGGAAAGGTGGCCGAACTCCGGGCTGAAGCTCAGGCTGCCGAGCATCGTGCCAGGAACACAGAAGCCGGCTTTGCCCGGGTTGTATTTTTATGGTATCAAAGAATGAATGCTTAGGGTTTTAGGCTTTTAGGGTTTAGGGTTTATAGTGTCAAACAATGAATGCTTAGGGTTTAGAGTTTTAGGGTTCAGGGTTTAGGGGCCGGGCGAGCTCAGTTCAAGCCTGTGGAAAAAAGGGTTTATAGTATCAAATAATATATGATGTCACAGTGTAGCAGGTTGAACTATAGTACTATATAATTATATAATATACTATAGTAAAGTGTATTGAACTATAGCATCATAGAATACACTATATTATAGTATAGTATAGTACTATAGTATCATATGCTCTGCGAGCTTCATAGGATACTGGTAATCTGGCATGCGGGGGCTCAGGCGGCACTGCAGGGCGGTGAGGACCGACGCTTAGTCTGCCTGGGTTTCCAACCGACAGCGCTATGCCAATCTGTCGTGCTTAAGACTCCGAGTCTAGTCATTGGACGGCTGAATGCTTACCTCGAGAAGGTTTAGGGTTTAGGGTGTCCAGTGAGAGTGTCCGAAGTTGTGTCACCTGCAGGCAGGTGCCTTGGCAGCGGCGCAGGCTGCGAAGGGTGGAGGTTGTCTGTAGCCAGTTGGATTTGTCCCCAATGTGTTTTTGCTGCGACCTCGTCGCTTATGAAGCATGGTGAGGCTGGTACACAGCTTAGTAGTAAAGGACTGTTGGTTTCTCTGTCTCAACACCTACCCATACCGGTTTACCGAGGTACAGTGAGGCATAAACACGAACTGTGCAGTCGTGCTGCAATGCCATGGTAGCATCAATGTTTGCGGTTGCGATCTCTCTCTCCCTCACAGGACAGCTCAACGCACCGCGGGCCGACAGCTAATGCAAAGGCAGGAGCTTAGGTCATCGGCTTGCGACCTGCAGGCAACCTACCATCGCCAGTGCGCTCGCCTCCAGGAGAGATGCCAGGCCTGGACTTGACATACGATAATATAGTATATAATAGAACATGACATGAGCCAATCTATTAATAGAACATAGCATATTATACGGCAATGTACCGGGTTTATGCGGCTGAGTGTCGCCTCTTCGCTCAGGCGGAAGCCGCTCAAGAGCGCAGTGCCATGGAGACATTCCGCCAGAGCGCCGCTTGCCTTCAGAGCTTCCGCTGCCACGTTTGGGTCTGTTCACCTCAGTGTTCTGAAAATTCTGAGCGTACGGTGCGGTGAAGACGGCAACATGAGCCAATGCATGCACACGAGTGGTTTAGGCCAGGGTATACTGCGAAATTTTACTACACGACGGCTGGCCCTCGGCTGTTTTAGGTCCTCCAGGAATAGGCCCATAGTCCGAACCCAGGCATGATTCTGGCCTTCAAGCTCAGAAGCCATGGCTAGGTGTTGAATTCCTAGCTTGATTCAATGAAGCCCTAAACTTGCCCTTTGAGGGTTACAAAGCCTTCCGACGCTTGAAAGACCCAGCCACAGGCCTCAGAGCTGGCCCACTTGAAGTCGGATTGCTCTCAGCTGACTGCCCAGTGCGGCTCCCGTGCTCGCTCTGGGGCTCTCTTTGGCTCAGGGTGATTTAGGCTGCGTGAGGCGCTCTGCCCACGTTAACTTTACCAGCATGGGGTGCTTCCTGCGAAATTTCAGCTGAGGCAAGAAGGCTTCCAGGAGTTGGGCTTGTTCTGACAATCTTGGGAGAGGGTGCAGGCTGTGGCGACGACGACGACGACGCTATCACGGCAGACTACTGCTTTCGACAGTGTCTATGAGGATGATGTTTTTCACCTTAGAGTCTTGAAGCGCTTGGGCATGTCGCTCAGTACCAGGCTTGATGCTGCGGAGGCCAGGGATTTTGTGCCTGTGACCTCGCACATTTATATTTATTAGTTGGAGCAGCCGGGGTCGCGTGTTTCGAGTTTGAGTGCAAAGCGGACTTAGGAATTGTTCGGCTTAAGGCTTGGAGGGTGTTGGTTTCGGGATCATGTGGAGGGTCAGTGACAGAGGGCCAGTCATGTTGCTCCCTGAGCCAGTAGTGGCAGGCCAGAGCAGGGCAGGATGAATAAAGCTTCTGGCCGTGTGCTTAACTAAACTCTAAGCTTGACCCTCCAGAAGGGTTTTGCAAATGGTTGCAGAGACCGCCGTGCCACGGCGGTCATTCACAGACCGCGAGTTGCGTGAGAGAGTAAAGCCATGTAGGCCCAGCGGCACAGCCTCCACAGAGATCTGCAGCTGGCCAAGGAAGGCCGTGGTCCCAAAGGGGTTTAAGGAGAACATGATGACTCGAAGAAACAGTCCACCGGACATGGGCAGCACGGGCGTTCCTCTTGCAGGCAACTTTCCACGCCTTCACGCGCATACTTCGTGCAGGTGAGAAGCAGATGTCCGAAAAGACCATCGAGCTACGGCAAAAGCTGGCAGATGGAAAGGCACCACGAGCAAAGTTTGGGTTTAGGGGTTCAGGGTTTAAGGGTTGTGGGGTTTAGGGCTCAGGGTTTAGGATTTAGGGCTTAGGGTCCAGGCTCTTGCATGGATACGCGCCGGACCTCCGCATTGCGTCTGAGTGAGTGAGTGAGCTTAGGGTCTATAGGGGTTTAGGGGTTTAGGGCTTCGGCTTCGGGTTCTGAACTTCAAGGCTTCATGTTTTCGAGACTGGTCTGAAGTTGAATCGCTCTTGCAAGATGAGGATGAAAAAGCTGTAACATACTGCATTCTAGTATAGTAAGTACGGTATTAGTATTACATTATAGTACAGTACAGTACAGTATTAGATTTAGATTAGATTATCATAGGTTTTCTCAACGCTGTCTGTGCTGTGTGCCCGATGGCTTCATTGTTTCTCGTTGCTTGCGTGCCCCATAGCCGCACAAACCTACCCTTCGCACGCTACTCAGATACTCGCACTTGCGTGCAAGCGGTAAAACCATCACAACAGCTTCAACGGAACCAAGCAGGCCGACTGAGGAAGGAAGGGCACGTGATTCCAGGACATAAGAAGGAATCAGTTTCGATGTTGTAGCTGTCCTCCGGCAATGTAATGATCCGCCCATGGCATCGGACTCACAGAGTCGTCTTGCTTGGCCTTGTGCTTCTCCTGAGCAGTGAAAGAGGTGGCGTGTCATGGAGCCGCAGTCGGTGTTTATCTGGAAGCTGTCTCTGTACACCCCTGCCCGCCCAGCCTTGGTTGCGAATTGGCATGTTCGTGGATGTGCTTTCTGGGCCGAAGACCTGGCGGAAGTGTCGAGTGCTCCATGTTTCGCCAGATGGAGTTGTCTGCATCATACGCTACACCGACTCCCCGAATGTGGAGCGGAACGTCGTGGTCAGGGACAGAATAAGAGCCACCCCGGAGACCTTTGCATTGTACAATTCCACGAGGCTGGATGATGCTTCGATGGCTCCCGGCAGCCCTGTAACGGGGGTCATCACAAACCTGAAACGGTATGGTGCTTTCGTGGACATCAGCTCGGAGAACGAAGCTGTCCTGGGATTCACTGAAGCGAATCTAGGTGATCTCCATGTCGGGCAAGAGGTGGAATGCGAAATTGCCACGAAACGAAGGGGCAGATGGCAGCTGGTACCAAAAGGAACCTTTGGCCGGGAGGAGGTGGCCTTGCATCGATTCCACGCGCAGGGGCGAAAGGCAGGGTGGCTCTCAGGCCGCGTCGTGGATGCCGAAAGGTATTGTCTTTATGTGGATGTTGAAGCCCCAGGCCTTCCTCACACAGTGCGGGGCGAAGTCTATGCTGACCAGATCAGAGACGGCTACGTGGGTGATGCCCGGTTGGAGCAGAGGGTTGGCGATGAAGTTCGGGTGCGAGTCTTGGAGGTGGACGTGCCATGCCAGCGCCTGTTGCTCTCCATGCGTGACGACTTCTCGAGTTGCTGGAAGGTCGACAAAGACGAAGCACGCCGAGCAGCCAGCTTAGCACGCGAAACTTGGTATGATTCTATAGCTCAAGAACTGACTTCTGGCGGATTTCTAGTTCTGGCTCATCTCTTCGATGGTGAAGAACCAGTCCCAGCGTATTTGCCTGGACCTTGGGTGCCGCACCCGTTGCGCCAAAGCTTGCGCAAAGGTTCGAAGGTGTCTGTCCGAGTGGTTGATGTTGATGCAGCAGCCGGTAGAATTCTCGTCACTGCAATGCTCATAGAAAACGGAGGGCCAAACCCGTCTTGTTGCCTAGACCTGGCGAGACTACTATAGAGTCACAAGCATATTTGATGCTGGCAGGACAGAGCTAGCATGCTTCTCTCATCAAGCCATTTCTGCCGCGCAGGCGAAGGTGCAGAAAGAGCGAGATCAGGTCGAGCTTCATTGCTGACTGACTGCTGACTTCGGAAGCATCGCCGGATTCTTGATGAGGCGTCGTGCGCAATCTATCCATTGTCAGGTGGCAGTATTGGCTCACAAAAGAAATAGGCGGTAGCTAATTGAAGACTCGGGTACAGTTTCATGTTCCATGGCACTCGGCCATAGCCAGCTTACCAGGGCCATGTTGCTATAAACAGGAGACAGTGGCATTTTTCATTGAGTGTATGTGACAAACTTGGTAGAACTGGTCGCCTCACCGGGCACACATGCCAAAGCAGGGAAGCACGTGCCTGGGCCGCTTGAGATCAGCCATCGGCCAATGAAGGCTTCAGCGACCCTCCCGTCCTTCGGCTTCAAAGCCAGTTGTAATGTCAACGGCTTGCCTCCCCTAGACAAGCCTTTGCATCAGATTTATGGTCGTAGATGGACCACAGAGACCAAGCGCTACCTCCATGTGCACAAGGAACGCCGATGGCTTGCCCTGAAGCACAAGCATCAGTTCTTAGACTTCTCCCCTCAAGAAAGGGTTGAGCTGCGCCGCTACTTCGATGAGCTTGCGGGGGTGAACGGTAGAATCAGCCTTGAGCAGCTCGAGACCATGCTGATTTCACTGGGTCTTGCAGAGAACCCGAGGGAAGTTCGGTTCTTGGCATCGCAAGTGGACGATCTGAAAGTAGGGGAGCTGGACTTCGAACAGTTCCTGGAGCTCGTGCTCCGCAGGGGAGACTCGAATCTGGTGAGCGTCTTTATGCAAATGGCCACGGGAAAGCTGGGGAACTCGAACCTTAATTTCAAGACACTGATCTCTGCATATCGCCGCCAGCTTTTCCTGGATGCCTCTGGAGCCGGCACCACCGGCCGCCAGCAGCTGGGAGGCAAGGTGCTGCAGAGTTTCGCCGATTTGCAGCGGTGCAGATGGGAGGAAAAGATGGCAGCTCTTGACACGGAGGCGCAGGCCGTCGGCATTGAAGATCCCGACTTCAACGTGAATGGCCATGCCCCTGTTGGCGGACTGGAGATGATCTGGCGAGGGGTTTGTGCGGAAAACGACCTGTGGCCGGCTCGCCCCATCGCCGAAGACGGCCGGAAGAAACGGCTGCTGACCAAGCCGCCTTCTCCACGGGATATCCTTCGAGCCATCCAGAAAGACTCTCCCAAACGGAAGACACTGGTCGGCAAGCACAACACCATCTTCGTGAATGCACCCTCGGCGTCGGAGGACAAGTAGTAGAAACGATCGTGGGAAAGGTCAGCACGTTGCTATGCCGAGAGTTGGCCCAACTGCAGCGAAGTGACTTGCTTCGGCGACTGAATTCAAGCACGAATGAACTGTTTATCTCGCAGGATTTCACCTGGTTTACGAGGTCTGGCGATACAGTCAGCCCTCTTGATGGGCATTGAATAGCTATGCCCGAAATTCCCCGACCCATTCAGAGCCAATGTGGCACTTTGTGGGGTCCACTCCTTGTCCAAGAAGTCTTGTATTCACTGGCGAAGAAGAGCTGGGATCAAAATCTGAGCACTCCCAATTCCATTATCTAGCTGGTTCCCTCTTGGCCACGTCCAAACTTGCAAAAGGCATTCACCTTTTCCGCTAGTGCTACCATGTACTGCCAGGGTCAGCTCCGGCGAGAAGAAGTATCGGCTCGCATCCTGGCGTTGCAGTTGTGTCGCGTTGCGTTCAGCGCTGAGACGGGCGAGTTCGGGTGGCCAGGCCTGTGAAAAGAGACTGTCGTCGCTCAAAGACAATACACAGGATGCAAAGATGTCATTCGATCCTTGACAACTTGGAACCCTCAGACGGCTGAGTCTGCAGGAGCTGAGGCGTTCTCTCGGCGAGGAGCGAGATTCAGCACAGAAGACCGAGACGAGGCTTCGCGAGCAGGCCAGGATTGGGACTTTGGGTTGGCATCGGCACTCGCACATGGGACTCTTGCGTTCAAGCGTGTTCAATCATGTCAGGCAGACGCAATTAAGTAGATCCCACCCTCCAACTCCCACACCCACACATCCACGTACAGTCAGTGAGCGAATCTGTGTGGGTGTGTGGGTGTGGGTTGTAATTTGTGGGCCTTATAAAGTGGTCTGAGTCTTTGCTTGCACAACCACGGGTGTGTAATCGCCGTTAATCACGCCTGGGCATGTTGTGTTGCCCAGCTCAATGCAGGTTGGCCGGAAGACTCGGTACGAACAGGAGCTGTCGTCGCTGAGGGACCAGCTGGACAAGCTGCGAAAGGAAGGCATGGAGTTGCAGGCTCGTCTAGACTTTAGACTGCATGGTGCTTAGGGATACAAAGCTGGCTAGTGGTTGCGATGTTCGACACATCATCGCTTCTTGTGTGAGGAGCAAAACCAGGAAAAAGTAAAGGAGGTGAAACAGCTCCAAGAAAGGCGGGGATGTCGCAGCTGTCTCACCCATTGAAGTGAAGCTTCGATGCCTGCTTCGCCACTGCCAGGCTCTTATGCGAGCAAGAAAAGCATCGCAGCGAACTTCAAGCAGTCCTTGCCTCAGGCTTATCGCAATGAGCACATTCCCATTGGACTCCATCAGCACGTTTGCTTGAGGTGTCGACCTGCAAGTAGGATGTGTAGAAAGGCCACGAACCGATCTGTCGTGTGCTAGTGTGCCGGCCAACTGGAACGAAGCCGAAGCCAATACTCTGCATCGCGATTATCAGCAAAGATTGGGACGAGACCGCGGCAGGTTGATAGTTCTTCAAGTTCGGGCGTGGTGTTGGGTTGCGAGAGTGCTTTTCGTGGTCTGCGCAACCTGTCAAAACTTGAACCAAGAACCTCATCTGGCTCAGTCGGAGTGTGAAAGTGTAAACCGTACCGAACCCCAGCCGCCTCAATCCAGCATTTTGGATCCAGACCGTCTGATCTCGACGACTCCTTTGTGCCAAGGCATTTTCGCAGAGTGCACAGAGGCTCCGAGCAAGCACCGAGTGTACAGAGGTGTACGGACGGGCTTGCCTGCCACATTGCCGACCGCTTCAAGATGGACTGCGTTCTGTTGCCCCTGCTGTGCATCCTGGGCACAGAAGGATTCCTCACCGAAGGGCCAGCCTCCTCGACTGAGGCATCCACTGAATTGTCTTAGAATTTTGGCAGGGCAGACCCTGGGCTCCCTGCCGGTAGCGGAGGTAGCCGAACCAGGCCTCTCTACCAGACGGCAGCCTCCGTGTTGAGCGTTGCAGGCCTGACCTTGCTCCGGAGGTGGCGCCCGACGCCTCTCCAGCTGACGGAAATGAACCGACTCGGGGAGCCTGAAGACTTGAGACTTCGACGATGATGTGCCACAAAAAAACCCCTATTCCAACTGTAATAACAGTTATTAATACTACTATTAGTATTTTGACTAAATTTTTTTTTGTATGACTATTGTCATTAATATTACAATTGCTATCGCTGCACTTCCGAGGCGGAGACCTGCAGAGCTCATACGAAGCGCCTGGAGGCTGAGCTGACCGGCGCAGAGGGTGCCAAGGCGAGACAGCGGTAGCTCTTCGCAAACACGTCCCAGTGTACCTAGGTACATACACACACACACTCTCTCTCTCTCTCTCTCTCTCTCGCTCTCTCTCTCTCTCTTTTTGAAAACGTGTTGAGTTTTCGCATGCATGAGTACATAAATAATCACCGACCTACGTAGACTATACATACATGCATACATACATACGTACATACATACAGATAGGCAGTCATGCAGACACATGTCTGTACGTGTACACAGGCATACACATACCCGTGTAGCTACAGAACTTTACATGATTTACAAACCCCCGACCGCACCAGGTGTATCGAGAGGGAGGGTTGTTGAAGTAGACAGGCAGATGTGAAGCTGGAGCTCGCAAACTTGAGGAAGCTTGCTGCAGCCCCGGGGGCTTCATCACCGCGCTGAGGTTTAGGGTTTCGAGGGGGGTGGGGGGGTCTGGTCGACGCTTCGTGAGCTGCTAATGTTTTCGCTTCCATGGTCTTAGGAATGTTCCAGATGCAGAGGTTTCCGGTGTTTAGGGTTTCGGGTCCAGAGTTCAAGACAAGTTGCTTGCAAGCCAGTTGCAAAATGACGAGTTGCACACCGTGCAGTTGTTGTGGGGTTGCCAAGACTCCAACGTGGCCTTCAGGAATTAGGGCTCAGGTACTTTCATTGCACCCTGATTGCGGAAGACCTCCCTGCCTGTCACCGCTTTTCATACCCGGCCGGGCTCGGGCTAAAGTGCGACTTTAGATCCTTTGGCTGAAGTCTAAAAGCTGTTGGCTCCTGGACGTGACTGTAAGTTCCAAGCAGAAGTGTAGACCGACAGTTCGGAACTGGGTCGGGTTTGGCAGGAAGTGCGACTAAGTGCGACATTGGTTAGAAGAGAGATGTATCTTCAACGGGGCTCGCTCAGCATCGATTAAAAAGTATCAAAACCAGGTGTTCCTGGTAAGCGCCAGTAGGATCGGCACAAGCGATTGATGCCGCAGCACTCGGGTCTCGACGTATGGTGGCGACTGCACGGCGGAGAATTCCAGCGTCATGCTTCCTCCTGGTGCATGTCGTGGTGCCCGAAGTCTCGAAGGCTGAATCGGGCCCCCGAGTGTCCTGCAGCCCACTGTGCTCCAATGGTGACCAGCCAGCTTTGGGTCGGGTGGAATCCTTGGAAGCTTTGGCCCAGCTGCATGACACGATTCTTCGAAAGGATTGGCCCAGTGCAGTCTTCGAAGCAGGTTTTAGCCTTGAACTGAGAGCATTCGTTGTGGCATTGCAAGAGCTTTCCGATGCGAACACAGCTCCGTTCACATGCGAGGCATCGCATTGCAGCAGCCTCGCGCTACTGGATGCTCTCCGTTTATCTCTGCAGGAGGGCAGTTTTGTGCCGACAGCAACTTCGGCACTATTCCTGTTGCATTCGCCCTCTAGCGATGTCTGCTGTGGCGCACTGCGCGCAGCAGCATACGTGGGCAGCGCAGAGGCACTGAGTCAGGCAACTTCTGCCCGCCTTGTTGGATCTGGGTCTGAAGCGGAGGCATTCTTCCGGAAGGGGCAAGAGATGTACATAAGCTGGCTTCAGTGGCTACAACACCACCGTAGCCACGAAGCAGCAGTACTTCTGCTCGAAGCATTCCTTGCACCCGGAACGCTCGAGCTGTTTCAGATACTTTGCCGCAGCACCTGTCGATATTCACAGCGACAGCAAGGTCTGTCAAGTGGCTGCCCACATTCCAAGGCTTTGCAGGACATAACTCGAAGATGGATGGCTTCCTTCGGCGACTCCTTCAGCTGCAAAGCATGGTTGGAGCACATGAAGTCAGAATCCCTCTTGGCAGTGGAGTTCTCCACTCCCGGAGCGCTTGAAAGTGTCTGCCTCATGGATGCTCTCACGGCCTTGGACTCTGCGTGTGCAGATGGCATCAAGGCTAAGGCTCTGCTGTTGCCGACGGAAGGAGAGCCCAGCACTCGATTGGCCATGTCGCGTGAATGGAGTCCTCGGATCAGCTTCGATGCAGCTCCGCTTCATCACCTGAGGGATGATTGCGAAATCCCCATAATGATGCTGGACGTGCCACCGGGGAAGCAAATGAAAATTCTCCAGAGCATGGGCCAGGTGCTGAGCCAAGGACGTGTTTTCGGGATTCTTACTCGCCTGTACAATCCTCATCATTGGCCGGCTGCAGATGATCCGTTGAGTGTGTATGAGTTTTTGGTTTGGCATGGCTATCTGCCCGGGCCGCTTGACGATCCGGAAAGCACTTACACCGCCGTCGGGACAGTTCAGCTTGAGGTAGCGACGGCCGGGGGAGCAACCGACATTCCCATAATCGCTATGCCGAGGCAGCTGCGGCGCGCTGCGCGTTCTGTTTCGCATCCCGAGGTTGCAGATGCCTTCACTTCTGCGCTCCGGCGAAGTTGTGTAGCAGCGCAAGACCACCGCCCCAATAGTTGGGTGGAGGTAGATGTAGAAGAAGTCCTGAAGAGGGTGCGGCGAATCGCAGTCCAAGTGTCCTTACCCGAGCCAACTCAATCTCGACGCCTCAGTGCCATGTTGGCCTCGGATGCCTTCAATCACGACGTCCTTCTGACGGGCTTGTCACTGGCTTCCTCGCCACATGTAGTTGCCTTGTTCGTGGAGAGCATGGAGCTAGCGCTTCATTTGACTAAGAATTTGCCCTTGGTCAGAACGAGGCCCAAACGGCAGCCACAGGTGGTGCTTTTGCACCAACCTCCACCGAGCAATCTATGTAGCTTGGTGGAACAAGGCGTCGCCATCGCGGTGCAGTCGTTCCGGTGGCTCCGGGCAGATCACAACCGATGCGAGCATCCGGTGCAGATCCACCTGGAAGTTGATACGGGAATTGGGCGAACGGGCTTGAGGCCTGGGATTGCCATGGCCGCGGTCTACTTCGTTTTGCAGCGCCCAAATCGGTTCCTACTCCGAGGCATCTACACCAAGCTTTGCTGTATCAGGGACCTAGCTCTGACAGGAAAGGCCTTGAGACAGATGTCCCGGATCGAGGTTCGTGCGCAGGCAATTTGTCATGGATACGGCAGGGCCCGGCACTTCGCAGTTCAAGTCGGTGGCGGGCTGGCAAGATCGGAGGCTGCTCCTGTCGTTGCTGCTCTCCCACCGAGCTGGTGGATACGAGTTGGCCAGGGTCTCTTCGGCGATCCGGCTCTGGGCAACCTTGCACCGCTGGCCATGACCTGGAAGACCTCGGTGTCAAGCACCGGCTGGCTGCCTGAGAACACGCGTCTGGGCTACTGCCCGCAGGGCACAGACTGCGATGCGAACAGAACCCAACTGCTGAGCCTTCGTCGCAGTATGCCCTGCCCTAGTTGGATTATGTAAGGCTTTAGTTCGTAGGATGTATAGCGGCTCCGACCCGTAACTTCGGTAGCCAAGGACAGGAACTTATGCAGCTATCCTGCCCGTGGGCTTTGCTGAGTTCCATGGAGAAGCGGTGTGGAGCCGTAGCGGGCTGAAGCTTCCTGTGTTGAATTCGGCTGCGAGCACGACGAGCGTGGAATCCCCGGAGCACGCGCCTTTGAAGATTGGAGAAGAGGTGACGCATCTTGCCTGTATACCTATAGTCAGTCTCCATTGTGGTTCCATTTTTGGGTTACCTTGTAGGTCCTAATTAAAGAACTGAATGGAGACTATAGGTAGGATGTGTTGGTACGATGCATTGAAGAGGTGAGGGACCCAGGCATGCATGACAGGAACGCATGGCAGTGTCCACAGCCCCCCAGACTGTGAAGATGTCTCATCCAAGGCTGTGTTCCAACTGTCCGTTAAACACCATCCCTTGGAGCATACCGCGCTTTCCCAAGACGGATGCGCAGACCTTCATCACGTGTTCCCCGGTGGTCTGGTAGGACGGGTAACGCATGCCAGCCAACGATCACACTGCACGAAAGGCATGCAAAGTTCGAGACGTAGCAGACCAGCGACGTGGGAGCTTCATGCAGAAGCAAGCAGATTCCTGCATATGGACCACAGGCAGTGCAAAGAAACAAACATGCGGGGAAGACTGCGGCGAGCTCCAGCTAGTCGCCCGGGCAAGATCTCACTGCAGACTATGATCAAGCATACCAACCTACGTCTTTCCGATGCTTTCCGAACCGCGTCTCCTACCACTTGCAGGCACTTCAGCGGGCCCACGCGTGGCACACATTTCTGCCATGCCTGCGCGACTGATGCCGCTGCAAACCGAAAAGATGTGATGCAGCATGATTGGCTTTTCTAGCAAGAAAGGTTTAATGTCTTGTGTGCTGCTCTTGAGCACATCCGTTTCACTGAGGCGGCTGATCTGACTGAGCGCAGCCCCCGTTGCGGATAACCTTGTTCCAGAAGGGACATCGAGCTACTGTGCTGCTTTTCTGAGGCAGTGTGCAGAGCAGCGTCGCTCTCGGGATGAGCAGCTGCAGAAGCAGAGCGCCGGAGAGGCCCCGGCTGACCTGCCACAGAGTGTGTTGATGCATTGCTGCCCGGATGGTGCTTAGTGGTTTAGTGAATGTGCGAGTTTGTTCCAAGACCTCTCAAACAGGTCACCGTGGAACGTTTGCGCCTCGAGCTGCGGGAGCTGAATGCTGATCGAACAAGGCTACAGCGCGAGGCGACGGCCCCGAAAAGAAATGCTTCCCGCTGCCGCAGCACACCGCTCTCTGATGGGTCTGCTGGCCCATCAGGCGGACCAAGCAACCCAAGAACGCAATCGCCTTGAGGTGCGCTATAGTGCTGAGCCAACACGAAAGTGCTTTGATTCGGAGACCATCGGAGATCGATCAGCTGCGCCTCCTCTCTCAGCCGCGAGGTCGAGCTGCAGGTTGCGGCACCCGCTCTGGATGAGGTGGTGCGTCGGTGCAAGCATTTGGAGGAACGCCGGTCCTGTGCCTACTATATACGGATACATACATACATACATACATACATACATACAGGGAGCTGTCTGTTCAATAAACAATCTCGAGTTTTCATTGTGCCATGGTTCGGGAATAAAGGCCAGTTTTATCAGAGACAAGCGTGCGATTTATCAAGAAGATGCACGGGCATTATCCAGAACATGCGCGGGAATTATCATTCACATGTGCAGGTTTTGTTTAGGGTGTAGGTGTAGCGTACAGGGTTTATAAAGAATAGGTTGCACGTGTCTGAAAAATCTTTACCATGTGCCTGAAAAGCTCCAGCTTTGCGCCTGATAATCCCGACCTGCTTGAAAACGCCGTTCCATGTGTTGAACCCTGGCGCCTAAAAAAGCCATCACCCCATTCATAGATAGATAGATAGATAGATCAATGTATTTCTTCAATTGTTCATGTTTGCATTTATTTATTCATTTTTTAATTATCTATTCATTTGTCATTTGTTTATGTATTTACTTAGTTAGGTTTTTGCTTTTCTGTGGCAGCATGGGGTGGGGCTTCAGTTCCGCAGGAACGTCTCGTGGAGCGAGTGCGGGAGCTGGGTGATGAGCTGCAGCCTCAGTACATGATTGATCATAAGGATTTTTAGGTGTTAACTTTCTTGTGGGTCTGGGTTTAGGGGCTTAAGAAGTGTTCTATTTAGGACCTTGAACCCCATATGTCTGTCTTCCGACAAAACAAAGGTAAACTACCCTGTGCCACGTCCCTGGGTCTGTCTCCCAAGACTCCCAAGCCCCGGGCTTTGGCTTCAAAAGAATCTCTGGAAGGCTGCAAGGCAGTACTTATGACCGTCTCTCACATTCTTTCAGTTCTCTCCACTCACCAGACTGTGTGAAGCCGAATTCAAGGGCAAGTCCCCTTCGGGATTGACTCGGGGATCACTTTACGCGACCGAACCATCGAGGAACACATGCTTTCTGCAATCATAGAAACGGCTTTCTTTCTCTCACACTCTCTCTGCTTGTTTGGGCTGAAACGTACGTTGTTGATTTTTGGGCTTAGATGCTCCTGAATCTTGAGTCTCGAAAGTCTGAGTCTGGGGAGTGTGTAGTCTGTCGTACGGAATTCTTTTGTTAGGCTGAAAAGGAGGGGGGTCATTTCTTGACAAGTACACCATTTTTCCGGGCATGTTTGTTTTTTAAATTTGGAGGCGAGCGGTTGGTTTTGGCGGCGTGACAAGCCAAGATTCGCAAAATTGTGCAGCTTTTTTTGGTCGGGTGACCGGGGACCTTTTCCAAAGCTAAGCCTGGTGGGCTCCCCGGTGCTTCCTCCGAAAGAAGTGTTCTGACCCATTCTTCTTTAAGAAAATGTTTAAGAAAATGAGTATTTTCCTTGCCTTTTTCAACAGAAAGGTTGTTTTTACCATCTCGTCTTGTTAAATTGTGCCGCTATGTTTGTCCCCCTCGGCGCCCCCCGGCCTCAGAGTTGTTGTCCGCAGTGCTTCCTTTTTTTTTAATATAATTTCTTTGTCGAGATGCTGAGATACCTGGTTGATCTTGGTGAAACCTGGTCGATTTTCGGCAAACCTGCTTGGCTGGTCAAGGCCAGAGCAAGGCCCGCTCGGCAAGCTGAAGCCAAAAGCGGCTGGCGAGCGGAAAGCAGACCGTATATTCATGATTCCTGACGGCCGCGAACAAAGACACAAACCATGTGGAGTTTGGGACCTTGGTTCGGGCCTGGGGAAAGGGGCCCAGGATGATCCTTGCGAGTTGCAGGAACAGAATTTGTTCTCACTCTTTATTTCTCG